TTGTGAAAGAGTTTGAATACGTCTTCACGACCTTCTGGGGAATTAATTATTTCTCCTATAGACGCCCCATGACACAAACGAAAAGTCAGAAGCCTCCAGCTATTTGCATGACAAATGTTCTGACTTACCACATTTCTTAGTTTCGCCAGCCGTGTATGACCCACGTAACTAAGACACGCCTGCCATGACAGTGAAAAGAATTCTCGCCAATGACATGCGACGTCCACTAGTATATAAAAAATGTTCCATTCCGACAGTTTCTTAGCAAATATTGTTGCTTTGTGGAACGGACTCTCATTTTTTTACAGCCTTAACCCATATAAATCTACGGTTAACCGATATGTTTCAAACATATACTCTTATAATTCAATATTTAATTCCTTCTCTTTCCGGCTACAACCGGATTTCGCAACCGTATACCTTCAGTGACTCATGCGTCTTGTACTTAAAGAACAATTATTAAAAAAAAGTTTTCACGGTAAATTTGCTATTAAATTACAGATGCTGGGAACATCTTCCTGATGTCCATATATTCATATTATATACTGCCTGAGTGTCAGTTTATAACAGTTATTTTTATAATGTTTTTTGATGAAATTATTTTGAGGTTGCCGGTTTTTATTATGCCAGAAATGTTTCTTTTTATTTTATGGATAAATAATGACCTAAAAAATGGTTTGCAAAAACTAAACTGCTCTCTTTTAACCGTCTTCTAGAATCTTCTTTGCCTTCAGTCAGCATGGCTGATTCTAGCCTCCTCCGGTTAACGTCTTTCACTGATATGAAGTTGAAATATTATATGACTATATTCGCAGTCAGGAATGTTCGTTCACTGTGTCGTAGTAGACAATTTTCCATAGCAGGATCTATCTTACACATATATGTATACGTGTACCATTTGTCCATGCATTTAATATTGCTTTTATATCTGGCTTCGGGATTGTTATAAGTATGTAAAGATCCTTGAGTGATCTGCAATCATATGTGCCCTAACATATCCTCTCGTCTTCAGTCACTTTGCCACCGACGTAAAGAAGCATCTTTCTTTCATATTATATAAATATTTGCATCGCAATTTTTCTGGTGAGCTTTTCCCTTCAGGGGTTCCTACTTGTAATGAAGACAGCAGTTTACATTCGACCACCGAAGGTAAGCAGCGCTGAATTTGTTCAGTATTTTGATGGGGGACTGATTTTGAAAACCGGGTGCTATAAACTTCCTTTTAAAACCCGAAATATATTTTAGCTTTAAATAATACACAAAGGGTTGATAAGTAATAAAAATAAATCATTCACTCTTAGCTGTGAGGTACATTTTTTTTTGTAAAATGTTCTACTCTTTAGAATTACTTAAAGAGGTTTATATAAGAAGTCTTATATTTTACAGTCTATGTTAATAATCGATATTATACGGCATTTTCAAAATGTTTCAAATCTTATCACCCACAGGAAGGCAATAAAGCCACTAGGACGGTAGTGTTTATTGAGTGTTAGAGTATATGAGAAGAAAGAAAACACTATTAAGGAGAGAGAACAATAAATAAACAAATATTGAGAGAGCCAGAAGTTAAGGACTGGCATTGCATTTAAATTTTCCAAGATTAAAATTCACTGCAAAGGAAGAAGATGTAAGCGTTTCACAGGCGAGAAGTGCGATTGAAGAAAAAGTTATTACAGAACTTACGGTTACATCTAGTCATTTCAACTGAAAATGATGAGAGCTTTCCGCCAATCTCGGACTGTGCTTTAAATTCATAAACCCTGGGGTACCATAGTGGGACATTTATCAGAACAATTACTCGGAAAGTATTCATAGCAAAGATGCAGGGAAGCTAGATTTTGGCGGTGGGAAAGGGAATGAAGCCGAGATGCCATGTAGGTCCAATAATATTGCAGATGCTTCTTTGGATTTTCAAAAAAATATCACCATATATAATAGGTGTTCCATACCAGATGTGTCAGCAATATTCAAATCAAAAACGAATGGTAGATTTATAAATAGGTAAGAAAGTTTCTGTCTAGAAAAATGTCTAGCACTACAATTTAAACTAACGTTTCCAGCATCAAGCCTAGAAACTGATTGAATATAGTCTTTGCACTTCATGTCAGCGGAAAACGTTAGTCCGAAAAGCGAAATCAGTCACGCTTCTGGAGGTTAGCATCAGACATGCTGATGGAAGGCAGAAAGGGTTTGCTTAGTCGATTAAAAGAGAACAGTTTCATTTTGAGTGGTCGTTTTAAATCTAACAAGGCATTCTTTGCCCCAGTTAAAAAAACAGATTGTAGGTCATTTTTTGAATCAGCTGCTAGTTTGACCCTATCTATCGATCAGACTTACGGGAGTAAATAGTTGTGTCATCATCATAGATGCACAATTCTGAAGCTTTTTATCTTGTGATGTTTTCCATATATTTTACGTAATTTATTCTTCAGTCTCTCCATAAAAAAAATGTATTAAAGTTTTTAGAAATGCCATCCTTACAAGCTTCTTACTCTTACGCTAGAAAACGTCCGTCTTTTCAAGCTAAGGGTTAATGTGGCTAGTTAACCATTACAATACACTAGTGAGGAGGGTCCTGCTGTCTTACAAAATTCGATATTAAATAACACAATGTGAGCTACCATGCCCTAAATTCAACAAACCATGAGCAAGAATGTCTATATTTCTATGTTTTCTTTTCACCTCTATTTCGCCGTGTCTTTTTCTTTTCATAAGTGATAAGGGAAAGAATAAGAAGATACGGGTAATATATGAAAGAAGCATATGAGAAGATAAATGCTCTAATTTTGGACACACGTGAAATTGGTAAATGTGTTATTGTTTAAGTTTTTCTCAATTTTTTGTGGCTTTTTATTTTCCTAGGTTAGTACCTTTATAGAATCAAAACTGATAGAAGTATGGAAAAAATGTACCTTTCGGTATACCTTAAAAATTCATATCATATTGCCCCAGGGTGTGACTGCCACGGCCATTAATTGACTATTAATTCATCATAAAAATTTAGGAGGTGGAATACTAAAACCTTCAACTACCTTAGTGTCGGTAATGAATTTAGTATGAGAGATAAGGTAATTTAACATTGCTACAAAACTAAAAGATTATCTTTAAAACTCGAGTAATTTTCTGAAATAGCCTCGTCGTAACAATACTTTTATAAGGATGTTACACATATATATATGTGTGTGTGTGTGTGTGATAGTGTGTGTGTGTATAAACTATCAGCTGCATACAACTGCTTTCTCATATCAAGGTTTAAAATGGTTTCTAGCTAATGGCTTTCGGGGACAATTCATCTTCAAAACCTTATGAACTGGCACTACACCAAAAAAACAGAAATCACATCACTGGATCCTTTTCAAATTAAATTTGTAGTTATCAGTATTCTCCCTACTCTGTTTTATAATCTTCATACGATAAAACCTCATCAATACTGTTTGAATAATATTGAAGCGATTATCTTTTTTCTATCTGGGCGCATTTTTCAAATCCCTTTTTTTGACCAAAATCTGTCATGTTCTTAATTAGCCTCGGTAGATCGAGACTTTCATGTGGATGACATGCATGTCACCAAAACCGTTCAGAAATATTGAAACACTGAATTTTCTATGACCAAGGATTTAAAATGACTTCAATTTAATAAAGCCCGTAGGTCAAACATGGGGAGCCTTTTCTGACTAGTCGACCGCATCATACCTGGCTCATCATACATCCAGTCGCACTAGTAGAAAGATTCAAGCCAATTTTTTTTGTTGAAGCTGTCTCAGCATTTAAATCACAGTAGACCATACACGTCACAATTTGCCGTAGAAATGGTAAAAGGTTGATTTAAAATAAATGAAGTCCCGGCATAATTTCATCACAGATAACAGTGGTTAACAGACACTATTGCATGTGATTTGGTTATTATTTATTCGTTTTCAAATACAAAAAATAATTTTAAACTAAAAAGTATATTACTTTCCTAAAGAAAAATATATTTCTTCTCCATAAAATATCTTAATTCTCCAGACGAAAATATTATGAACATCCTGTTTATAAAACAAATGATATTTACACGCATGGTCTTCCTTAGTGAAAATCACCAATCGTTTAAAATGATGAAAACGTTACCTTCAACAAAAAGTTAAAAAATTCAATAAACGTTGTGATTAATCATTGTTTATGTATGTAGTTACGTATGAGAGAATATGTGAGTGAACAAGTGAGGACGAAACGAAATGAAGACAATTTTAATAAACCTTATATTCCTCATGAAATTCACCGAACCATTCATCAGGCGAAACGGACCACTTTGCCCATGACTGCTGTAGGTCTTACTGAGAAGCATCCGTCTTCGAACATGTGAAATGGCGCTACAGATTCTCAAAAAAGAACAATATCAAATGACAAAAATCATATCACTTGAGAACTTTCAACATCAGCAACAATTTTAAATGGATAATGCATGCAAGTGGTAGGTCTTCCACACTACCTGGAGCAAAATGTTAGGAAGGAAATCTCTCGATGGAAACATGGAAAAAATGATAACACTAGTGGATCTGATAAACCTATTTTCCAGCAAGAATTTGAAGAGAAAGATTTGATAAATTTCAACTGAAAGTAGCACTGGCTGCTCAGTCAATAAATACCGAAAGTTTCCTTATAAGTAAGCTGCTACTATTACCATTATCATTGCCATTACTCAACATGGCACTAATCGACCGTCATATAGAAACGTACCTCGCAGAACAACCTTATACTGTATTGCTTTATTCTCGTCACCATCTTAAAATAATTGGATTCTGAACTGAATAATTTTTCTTAGCATACATTCGTTGTAGAAAGTTTTGGGTGGAATATGTTTTCATCATTAAAATAATATGAAGTAGAAATAAATTCTTAAATTCACCTATGTATTAAACTCTGTAGTCGAAATGGATAAGGCACCGTCGATTCAATCTCGAATCGTGTAATAACATGGAAATATAATTAAAACACAGTTTCATTTCTAGGCTTATTAAATGTGTTTCCTACTTTTGACATTTTTTTCTATTGAGTTTATCTTTATTACATTTTATTTCTTTCTTTTTGTTTTTCTTATTATTCTTCTCGTTTTATTTCCTTCTACTTTTTTCTTTCCGTTTTTTCAAATTCATTTCCTTCTTTGTTCAAACTCCATCTTTCTTTCGTACTTTCCGTCTCATTCCCCTCCTCTTTTTTCTATTCCTAATTTTCTGTGTAGGGATTTTATCTTTCATTATTAATTATCGCTACTATTTTCTTGAGGGTACGGCTTTCGAATAACTCTTTCATTGACGCTTTCTTAATGTTTGGAAAATTTATTTTGCTGTCCTGGTATCTTTCATTTGTTATTTGCGGTTTGAGCAATGATCGTTCTTTCAATATTCTTTCGTTCAGAAATTCATTTTTCTTTTTTTCTTTTATCACACATTGTTTCTACCATCGTTCGCATTATTATTGTCTTTTTTCTTTTTCCATCTTTCTTTTTTCGTTTATTATTTATTTTACTCACTGAATATATATTTCATCTATTTTTTTCTTATATAAAATTAACTCTATTTCTTTCCTAACATTATTTTTACCATCTTCACATTTTTCTAATTTCATTCTATTTAAAATCTTTCTTCACATATTTCAAATTTATTCTATTTTTTTATTTATTTATCATTTATAGAACTCTCTAAAAGTATTTTCCATGTATTTATCTTTGAATACAATTCTTTTTCTTCCTTTTTTTTCTTTCTTATCCCGCAATCTTTCTACGATTTTTCTTCACATTTCTAAAAACTTTTGGTTGACTATATTTCTTTTCTCTTTGTGCAACGTTCAATGTTTGTCTTCCTTTCTTTCTTTCTTTTTTATCTCGTCGTTTTTTTGGTCCTTTCTTCATAGTATATCAATTTTTCTCTTTCTTTTTTCCTCTTTGTGCAACATTCAATAATTATTTTTCTTTTTCTTTTTTTTCTTTCTTTCTTTCTTTCTTTTTCTCATTCGTTCTTTCTTCATATTATTTCAAAATTCTCTCTGTCTGTCTGTCTTTTTTTTTCTTTACTCTTCGTGCAACGCTATTTCCTTTCTTTTCTTCTCTCGTTTTTTATCACTCATTCTTTCGACGATATTTTTTCAGATTTTTTCAATTTCCTTATTTCATTCATTCTTTCTTTCTTTCTTTATCTATTTGTTTCAACAATATTTTTTAAAATTTGCAACCATATTTCGTATGTTATCATATTGCCACTTATATTACTTTTTCACTTGCATTAAATCTCATTTTCATTATTATTCCAATATCGACATTCCCTCACTTGTTCACTGCCTTTATTTATTTCCATCTTATCTTCGTTCCTTCTTTCTTTTCTGATTTTTCTGATATATCTCAATTTTCACCGATCTGTTTTCCATGCCCCATCCTCTTTTATCTTCATCATTCGCCTCTAATGCCGACTCTCACAAGAACGCTTTACTCATCGTTACAATCTAAACAATTCCGCTAAGAGACCAGAGGCACGAAACTGCAATTCAGAGTTGTTAATTATGTTGGCATCCGTCAGCCAAAGACTACACACTTGACCATTTTAAAGACGACACGTAGTGCTTTCCTCTTTCCCGGCTAACGAATTAATATTTGTCACGTAGACTGAGGCAAAGTAATTCGGCAAACGTGTAGAAAAGCCATCGGAAAACGGAGAACAACCTTTGCCATATACTTGTGCTGTCTGCTTTTACTTTTGTCCACCGCTTACCAAATACGTAAAGCTGTAAGTGACTGAAAGCGAGGTTAATCATTATCGCTTTAAGTGATAAGTCCGAAAATATATCTACTTTGATGGCAGAACTTTCTATTTATATAATTATTTTTATCCGAAAAAATGATTTAGTCGATAAATAAGAAAAAAAAAAAAATATTCGCACGTAGAAGTTAATGGTCATTATTATTATTATTACTCACATGACTGGGTGTGGTCGTTGGAGCACTGCGCAACAGATCACCTGACAACCTCCTCCATATGTTGCAGCGAATATTCATTGATGCGTTAGAAATTATTTCCCATCCCCTAATTTAATACTTACTTTTAAAAGGAATAATTATCTTTAGAAAAATCGTGTCTGACATTGGATTAGTGTGATGAGTAAAGGAAAAGTGTATGAGAAACTGTTACTATTTGTTTTTCTGATAAGTAATAGACTTTATTTCTCTTTCTTACTGCTATGTATAATAAATACCTGAATTTCCATTTCGGAGTCTGTCATCAATATAAAGTCATAAGTGTAATTTATTTTGTTAAAATTATATCCGTTGATACTAAATCCGGTTTGGCCTGCTAGAAAAACTCAAACCGTTTGATAAATATATTTGAATAATTCAAAATAAACCTTGGGAGCAAACGAGTCTCATAGGAATAGGAAATAAATTAAGAAAATAAAAGATAGAAAATCTGTGTAAAACAATAATGCGGCTTCTCACCAGATTTGTTTAACCTTTACAGTGAAGTAATTCTAAAAGAACATGAATGTCGTACCATATTTATCATGGGGTGATACAATCTTGAAAACATTCAATACGCAGAGGGCTAAAAAAAAAAAACAAATCAGGAAATTCTAAACCAAGTAGTAAATAAAAGCGTGCAGAAAGACTAAAGAAGAAATGCAAAAAGGCAGAATCTATGGTCTTCAGCAAGAGGGAGAAAGATGGCAACTACGGACTGGAGATGTGAAAATAAAACGAATACGAACATTTAAATACGTCAGAATGCTTTTAACAGATGATGCCAAATGTTCAACCGAAACCCGAAGGCGGATTATAATATTGAAAAATGCCTTCCAAAATCAAAACCAAGTATTAAGAATCGGAAGGTACAGATTAGAAACAAGTAAAAGACTACTAAACCGCTATATGATATCCATCATCCTATATTGAAACCATTCCTAGGTCAGCTGCTAAGAAAGTTGGTTAAACTGTGCCGTGCGGAACAATTCTTCTATCCAGAAATTATCTTACATATCTATAAGTTCGTCTATGCAAAGAATATTACTGTCACATATGGTCCGGTGCCTCTACCACTTACTATAAGCTTCTTGATAAAATACAAAGAAATATTAGCAACATTATTTACCCCCATCAGCTGACTCCGCTTTATTCACTTCTAACCGTCAGGTTGCCTCTCTGTGTCTTTTCTATAAATACTTTCACGCTAATTCGGATGAGCCGTTCGCGATGGTACCTGGAGTTTAAAAAAAAATAAACGCAGTACTAGTCTGGCGTCGAGAACTCGTCAATTTAGAGTTGAGCTGACTAGACATAACCTTAAATTCTATACTAACAGTTTATTTCCTCGCATGTGGAAGTCCTTTCCAGATCCATACTATTCAGCCAACTTTAATCTGCCAATAATTTAAATGCAATTTCAATCGCTATCTGCTGTCTCCTAGTTACTCTTTTCTCTTCCTGATGTTTCTTTTCCTAATTCTCCAACACCCTGTAAAGACTTAGTGGCTTTGCTGCCTTGCATGGGATGATGCCGATTAAAAATATCAGTGAATGTTAAGAAATGTCCTCAATAATACAGATAATAGAAGAGGCAACATACATGTTTCTAAATGTGGTTGCTGAGAATATTACGGACGAAGTATGTAAGCTTCGAGGAGGGGAAACGCGGTCAAATATGCGTCAAACTGAAAAGGGCTAAGACTGGGGTCCCTGGTAAACAGATCCTGAAAGTAGTTTCGAAAAGTCTCACAAATGCACGCGTTTGTACTCATGTTGCGTTTGTCTGGTAAAGTGAAATCGCGATATGTCGTTTGGATCCATTTCAAGCCTCCTCTTCACGCAATTCAGCGGCCATGTTCGTTGCATAGGAATACATTCTTTTTAACATATACGTAAATACAAGAACTATAATCTTCTTAAAAAGCAAGGAGACCAGTTCCACCCTAGCTAAGTTTATTTCCCTACTGTCATGGATTTTAATCATCCGATGAACTTTCGTTTCACATGCCGTTTGCGCTACTAATCTTGCTAGGAGTTGGCAACTATAAGCAGCAGCAAACGACCCAACGATTTTAAAATAGCCCAATTACTCCCAGCCACAGCACTCATCAGTTCCCGCTGTAGCATTAGTAGCAGTGCGTATTAGAAATCTCACTCTTCAAATAATTATGCATTCAATTCCCAGTAGGCAGCCTCCCTAAAATTACGCTTAACTAAGTGTACACGAACCCGGAGCCTATGATTCGAGTAAACTACAGAATGGAAACTTGAAGAATATAAGAGTCCTACATTGATTCACTTAACTAGAACTCGGTCGAGGTAGCTAGAACGGACCAGCGAATCAGGTCCGCTCCTATTAGTCCAAGTCAGCACTACCTCCTGAGATTGTTCATTACGATACTTATCGACAAGATCGAACTTGTCGTCAAGGTCACGAAATTTTGTCATATTTAGGTTCTTATTTTCCGATCTTTCCCCGTACGAACTAAATCGGAGACAGGGACGGAATTCTAATTCCTCGCTAAAACTACCCGATAAGATATGAGAAGAACGACTCTGAATTGTCATTGGATGCATAAACTACAATGAGATAAAGAGACATATTCTTTATGAAAACCTCCAGCACGCAACACCTGCCTGCCAGACCTGCAAAGACAAGGGCACACACCACATTCAAAATCTTGTTCACTAGCCAGGAAACAACTCTAAAGCGTCCATCAAAACATGTTGAATAGAGGACAAACCTCGTAGACAGAATGCATTCATAGGCGTTGAAAACAGGTTCCCCTTTACATCCAGCACAAGATACTGGGGATCGCGAGTGAGGATTGCTCTGCAAGACTCCGGCATCAGGCCCAGGGCATTCAAACGAGCTAACCAAAGTGTCATTATCAGACCGATTAGTGTTAGAAATCTGTATTGAACTTGGCGTGAGGGGGGACACCGACGGCCTGTTCCATTCATCCTTTGTCCATTTCACTGTATATGATGGCATCAAGAGACAGGATACCAATGTCCAAGGAGAATGTTAACTTTAACGCTCTATAAAGAGATGGGTGAACAAAAAGCGGGATCGTCCCTGAACAAAATTGATTTAACTCTTTCACATAGTCGTCATCAAAAACGCCAAAGGCGGGAATATGGAGAATGCATCGTTTGATTCTTGCAATATCTCCAAAATATTTTGAGTTTCCTGTACACACCTTACTAAAGTCAAGACCCGTTTTGCATGTGGGAAATTTTTAGGGACTTCAACTTCATTTGCCTTTTTTTTTTTCCAAGGTTCAGCAGAATTATCAAGCCTTTATTTTTTCTTGACTGTTTATTTTTTATCTGCCTCCTCAGATGTTACTCGGCAGACATCCTCTCCGCTATTGTAGGAGGGTGGGCGGATTTTAATTTTTTTTTTCTATATGCGATGATTTTTTTCGGCTCATTGGCTGCGTTGTCTTTTCTGTTTTTCCAATTTCTTGGGTGAGAACGTGGGTGTAGGTGACGGAGTGATTTGGAACTAGATACAGGAGAGTTCGTCTTTTTCGATCTGTTCCATATATGTGACCGGATATCGCCCTTGGGGCTTGTAGAGTGCCTGAAGTTGAGTATATCTTTTACCGTGGTGGTTTCTGGAGACAGAGTTCCCGCAGTCAAAGGTGTCTTACCAACAGCATGTCATTCTCTCATTCTTACTCTGTGAACACACAATCAATTACAGTCGAATAAGAAATAATACACTCTGCCAAATGGGGATTTTGGTCAACGGGGGCCAAAACTCCAGTGTCTTCTTCTCTGGGCAGTCGCAATGACCGGCATTTTCTGGCCTTCTACATCCAGACAGTTGGAGAGGGAGGTGAAGGCTTTACGATCAATTATCATTTCGAAACTCAATCAACCACGTTCAGGTCGTTTTAGGAAATACTGAGTATCTGCCCAAATTAAGCTAGATAAGCGGCCATTTGCTCTTATACATATGGTGAGGGACCTCATATACTGATAATAATCCCCCGCCTTAACTCATATCCAATTCCTTTGATGCGGTCTTTTGTGGTAAGCTAATGACAGAAAGCGTCATCTCAGCCGTCAGGCTTGGATAACAGTACGTCCTACATGTAATATCTCTTGCCTCTTATGATTCTTTGTGGTTTCATCCACAGCGACAGCAGGTATTTGATGTCAATCTCTTTCGTGTAGCGACAAATTATGCCCACACTCTTG